CTCGAAAGACGGCTTTCAGCCGAAAGCAACAAGGATGCCGAGCTGCTGGGCACTTACCTCACTGTCCTCATACATCTTTGCTCGCAGGTGAAAGAAGCGCGGCGTTATGTCCGATTACGAGTGCTCCCACCGTTGCATGCGATGGATGTGAAGCGCCGTCCGGACGAGGGTGCGGAGCTGCGCAACCGCTTGATCCGGCTGATGACGAGCATCTCGAACAGCTGCAATCTGGCAGCCGAGTTCATCTTCATACTGTGCAAGAAGAGTGTGAGTCGTTTTGTGAAGTATTGCGGGTTTGGGCATGCGGCTGGTCTGTTGGCAAATCGCGGTATCTTGGGGGCCCTGAATACGCCGAAGAATCCTTCGGATAGCGAGGACTCGGAGACGGAAGATTACAAGGCAGTTCAGGGTCAGGTGAATCCGGTGACTGGCTGTATTGAGCAGCCAGGAGAGGACCCGTTTGCTGGGATGACCGAGGAGCAAAAAGAGTACGAGGTGCATCGGCTGATGAATGATATCAGTAAATTGATGGATCAGGGAGTGATCACACCCGGACAGATCGGCCCTGATGGACGTCTACGACCAGCGAAGCATGTCCTGGAACTTGTCAAAAATGCGGACGATAAAACAAGCGAAAATGCCAGTGATAGTGATGTCGATTGATGTGCATTTTTCACCTTCCCGGCCGTCCAGCATTCCCCCAAATGCATGGGCTCGCATTGATTCATTTAAATTTTGCGCGCGACACTGCTTCTTGCTACTGATGCATGCCGGAACAGCCTTCGAATGCCGGCCCGCTGTACAACCTTGTTCCATTTGGGGACTGCTTCCCTGTGCCCCTTCTCACACAGCGTAAATGCGGCAAGAGATTTTCATTTCTTTTTAGGGATTGCATGCAACGGCTGCTAATCCGTAGTGTTTATCTGTGCAGCTAGTAACTTTTTCATTCTCTGTATTTTTGTACTTTTCGTATTCGCATCACGCCATGCATTCGCATGCCGGTTTTTCCTACTGCTTTAATCAGTTGAGTACCATTCAGCTGTTTGATTCGTTCATCTGTTATCTGTCATTCTTGATGTATGGCCTGGCCAGCTTTTTTTTTTTCTTTCCTTCCTACATTTCCTTTGTTCCTTGGCCGTAGATTATCTGGCGGACTGGGTAATTCTTGGAAGTGATGTTTTTTGGTGCACTTTGTGCTAGGAGAATCGGGCCAGTTTTCTTGTAGGTACTTTCCTTTTTCGTTATACGTTAGCTATCCTTAACCCATCGTCGCTTGGGAGCGCTCAGCTCAAAGAGACACACGCTTAAATGTTTTTGCAG